TAACTTCGATATATAGGCCAAATACTACCTATATGCTACTGAGAATATGCTAGAAAGTTTGAGCAAAAACATGATAATGGTGATCTATTTATTTATCCAAAACACACATAATATCGCTACTACATGTGATTTAATAGATCATAACCCAGACTATATTTGTTCATATATTGAACCTTGTCTGACATTACACAAAAAATTTGATTTACTGTTATATATTAATTACATGAATCTAATATAGTATCGTTTATTTTGTCGATATACGAAGATCTAGAGGCGGGTATCGAAAGAGATGCACGTAGGACGGTTATTTCTACGATCTCTTGGCAAGATCTCAATAACGCACAAGATCTGAATAACCGAATTACACTCTCCCAACCAAAAAAAAGTCAAACCGAGATACCAGAAAGATCTTGTGATAAGAGGCAGGGAAATATAGGTAAGTAATTATTTAATATGGGCTAGTACATTTGTGTTAATCTTTTTCATTGTATTACGTTGTTAAAAATCGCTAATTATAATTACTACTTCTTTACAGATTTATCGCGTGCCAGACGTGGGTTAAAAGCAGAGAACCCATTACCCAATGGGGTATAATTCGATACTTATATAACGAAAATAATTATATAAATTTAGCAGTTTTAAAATGTAAATATATCAGATGATTACTTGTTCTCATTAATTGCCTTGGGTGTGGGAGCTAGGGCTTCAGGTTCAGGTTCTGGATCTGAGTCAAGGTCAAAATTAGAAGTATCACCCTCGGCATAATATATTCCAGAATTATAACGATCCATCTTATGCCTCATTGCAACTCTGCTAAGGAATTTGAGATGTTGCGAAGTTGGATTTTGACCACCATGAACTCTAGAAGCATGTTTACCTCCAATTTTTCTTAATCTTTTGGCTGTAATACCATATGATTTTAAAAATTTACTAAATACTCCTGTACTGCGTTTTCCATTAATACTATAGACAGGATTGCGTAACTTTCCAGTTGCTATTGCATCTTGGATCCAGGTAAGCAATTCTTTTGCACGTTCTGGATTCTTTTCCATAGATAGAAATTGCCGAGGTTTGGGATTATTTTTTGCTTCTCCTTTATTTTTAATATACCCGATACAATACCAAGAATAACCAGGCTTGTACCATTTAGGAGGATTCGATTCACTGGGTTCATAATGGATAATACGAAGAGTGGCAACTTCGGCAGGTCTCATACTCAACATCATAATTACATCTGCAAGATCTTGCATAGTAGGGATTTTAGTAATATTGATTTTTTAAATTCTTCTAAGTCCTTCCTTTAAGGAAAAGTGTTTAGGAGTTTTAGGTGGATTGGGTAATCGCTGTTCAAGTTGACTCTTTTGAATTTTGTTAGAAGCTCAAGTAACTTCTGGTAATTTGGCATATATATAAATTTGCTCAGAACCAACCTCAGCTTCTGCTAACTCTTTACGAAATTGTGAAACACAAGAACTGGCTGTCACAATTGCTTCATCTGTATTATTTTTTGGCACAGCTAAGTCTAAAGCATGTAACCAAATATCCCACACATCTTTAGTTTTTGCACAATATTGAGCTCTTTCCTTGATAGTAAGCCTTTTCTTTTAGTTGTTTGGAACCAGAGCTCCTATTTGATTTTCTTTGAATAAGCACCGACAGAGACTCTTTCACATCTTTACGAGCCTTCCAATCCGGTAGCATAGTACTAAGCTCATCGGCATGAGCATGTAATTGAAGCGGGTTTGATTCGGCCGATAGGTTATATTTATTGAGGACCTAATCCAAAATGGAGGTAAAGCTATTAGTTTTGGGTTTTTTAGTTTTTCAGACAGTTGCCATGATAGATATGTAAATAATCTATATCGATAAGTAGAATGTGATTATATATTAACCTACTTTTTTTTTTAAAATTCAAAATTAATTACGCTTTTTCCTCCTATACCCGGAAAAAAAAGGTTATGTATACTTATAGGGTAAGTAGGATGTTGATTTGAAATTTACTAACATATAAGATATAACGAAAAAAAATTATAGCTTCGAGTTGTAACTACTCAGGCTATATAATATATCATGTTTTATTTTTTATAATGCTTGGAATAGATTCCGGTATTTTCTACACTTATAGACAATTTTTTGTAAAGATCAGGTGTATTTTCCATTATATTAATCGGTGGTATTATAGCTAGATGGGACAAAGCGTTTATGAATCTAATTTGCTCAGGATAATAATAATCTATAATATCTGGTAATTGTAGAAATTCTGCTAAATCTTTTATATACCTAAAACTATTGCGCATTAGTTTGTAGAATGTTGGTCCGTTGTGATCGATCTCTCTCTTGGTTAATAAGTTGACTACTTTCTGGGGTGTTTTTTTTTTTTTTTTTTTATAACTTTGGCGTATCTTGCCAGGTATTTATTTTAGTAATTAATTCATATGTACAAATGATGCTAGCTAACTAACATA